TTAGCCATGCCCTGACTTAGATCAACCCAGAGGTTGTTCCAGGGTTTGATCTGTGAGTTAGCCATGCCCTGACTTAGATCAACCCAGAGGTTGTTTCAGAGTTCTATCTATGTGTTAGCCATGGTAAATAGATATGGATTGCTAATGGTATCATTAATAAAGGGGTTCTTACCATGAGATACTGGTGATAGTCTACCATGTGGTCTACCAGTAGAATATGAGTCAGTCCAGTCAGGCCAGGAATTGGACAGCGAATTACCAAAGGTTTTCCTTTGAGAGAAAAACAATTCCTCATCTGTAGGAGAGAATGGACTGTTTGCAGGTAATCCTGTAGGGGTAGCAGAATGGGCACCTCTTGTCATAATATCCTTATTCTGTCCTTCACCCAAAGCTGGCTCAGCACTACTGCTTGCTTTAGGTTTAGTGTGAATTGTTCCACGCTTGTAAAGCAGAGCATAACTTCCTCCTGCACCAGCAGCTGTAGCTGAGCTGGCAAGTGTGGCAGCTGGTGCTGTAGCATTCAGATTCACTTTAGTTTTCTCCTTCTTGACCTTGTTACGATAAATCTCGGCATATGATGATGATGATGATGATGAGCTTGAATCTGGGGGCTTAGGCATGTGTGCTTCAGGTGATGCTTGGTGAGATTGATGTAAGTTTCTAAGGTATTTTTCAGTGTATGATGTCGATGTTAGTTTAGATGTGCTTGTGGGGGCACTACCAGCCTGACGTTGAGAAGAGCTTCGCTTGGGTGAACGGTCATTGACTATTTCTGTTGGAACCCAAGAGTTTCTTACCAGCTGTGGCTTTTGATCAGAATTGTCATTCTGCAAAAAATATACAAAAACATTGGAAAATATTAGAATACTACTATTCTTTAAAATTCTTTTTGCCTTATATCCAGAGTAATGATACAGAAATTAATTTTCCCATTTTAAAGTATTTTTAGGCAACATTTCAAATAATATTATAGTTTAAAGAGAAAAATTAGGAACACCTTATATCTAGATCAATGATTATGATGATAACTGACATAAAACTAGCTGCTCTAAGTATTACAAAGAAGATTTCATTTATCCCCCCAGAGAAGCTTTGTTCCTCCAAAAAAAGGTTTCATTAGGAACAGACAGCAGGCTGCTGTGCAGGATTACAACAACTCTGCTATATCACAATGTTAGTGGATTGTCAAACATTACTGTATGACAATGAAACAAGGGTTTGTCAAAGATTTGGTCTGGTTTTCAAACATTTTTAATCTATCTAACCAAGACCTCTATAAGATAAATCACATTGCAGTATACCAAAAACGAGTAGTTTGAAATAATATTATTTAGACAAACCAAATGCTTATTAAATTCAATAGCAATTATTTATTTTAAAAACGATATAAAAATTTGGCATACAAACATTGTCGACCAGATAAACTTCATACTTATTCAAACTATCTAGTCATGGTTTGACCATTTTTGAGATAAGAATTATGCTGGTTACTGACTAGACATGTCTTAATAGATGTATCTATAATCTATATTGAATTCTGCACAAATAACCCAGTCTAGAATGTTCTTCCTTTCTTGATGACCCCCCGCAAAGGGGTGTTTTAAGATCCACAACATTGTATCAAAAACAGAGTTCTTAAGAAAACAACAAAACAGACAGTATAATCTCTTAAATTGATCAAAGTATTAATATATTATGAAAAAAAGACCTTAAAAAATTATGAATTTTATTATCATTTTGACCAAACTTAATTATTGAAATCTTGTCATCTTTTAGTGGAAATAGGCCAAGGTTAAGATATGAGATTTTCAGTTCGTCCAAGTAGAACATTATCATAAGAATAGGTGCTTTTGTCTGATAAGAAACAGTTGGAAATCATAAATCTTTAGGTTCAAGACCTTGACAAAGGATCTTGCTGGGTATAATCTTAGAGCCAAGAGAAAGCTCATTAGTGAAACTGTTCATTGAAATAAAAAACTACAATAAATTAACTGTTGGCAAGAACCTTACTGAAAATATATTTTTGGCAATTTTCTTGATGTTTTTCAATAAATTTTGCAGTTATTTTATGGCAATAAAATACTTAGGAAAAAATTAATTGAGAAATTGTTTTTATACTTATTGTGCTTTATTAGAGAAATAATTGAAGAAAGATTATCAGAGTTCAAATCTAAGATTTGATGACAAGATTTTCACTCAGAAGTGAGAAATTACAAGTTTGTTTTTTCATCAAAATCTTAAAAACAATCCTATGAAAGAATAAACATTTTTTGTTGACATATTTTATTTATCTAAACATTGAATTTAATAAAATTACCGACTATGACTTTAAGATCTGTTCCATTTAATAATATTAGATCACAACGCATTTAAAGTTTATTTTTTATATATACATACAGGAAATTTCAGAGTTTTAAAGATCTATCCAATTATAACCAAGCTGAATGGTTCTTAATGATTTCAGGAAATTTATGAGGTTCTTTTTTAAAAAAAAAATTATGAAATTATTATGCAAATAAAAACTTCAATTCATTAGTTTATTTAGAGCTTAAAAATAATCTTTAAAGTAGTATAAAAAGAATAAAACTAGTATTACAACATTAGACATTTTAATTTTTAAACCATTTTTTAAGTACAGGATTTAATTTTTCAAATAGGAAGAGATCTTTACTACATTTTGAAAGCACTTCTGGTTTATTCTAAACATCTATTGAAGTTGTATCTTAACAAAGAAATGTTTAGCAGATCTAGTTGTCTTTATCATTTTCACTTGCAAAAATAAAATTGAAATAGAAAGTGATTGTCATCAAATGTAGTACTTCATGTGTTGCCTAGGATACACACCCACATGTACTAAAACCCTTTTGTTTGTCTAATTGCAATACAAAAAAACAAGGATTTTTTTTTTTTTTTTTGAAAAAACTTTTATTCTTAAGCTGAATTTGAGAGTCAGTAATTTATAAATCAAAATACAGATGTCCTTAAAAACAAAACAAAAAAAATCTAGTGTACTAAAATATAATGATTTTTTTTAGATATTCAACAAAATGTGTAATAAATTTATAGAGATTAAACAGAATGGTTGAAAAGAGAAATAAAACTTTCCAGAAAAATACAAAAAAAAACTTTGTGAGATTTTTCTCTCATGATTTATAATTTTCCAATACAATAATGATCTTAAAAGATGTAATATTCTCAAGAATTCATATTGGAAATGAGCTAGACCGAACTAGACAGTGTTATTTGGAGCCCAATCTAAAAATAAATGACATTTTTGTTCATCTAGCTATTTGAATGGAATTTTTTCCAAAGAGGATATCCCACTGTTACTGGGGCTTGTTTCTTTATCTTTCCCTACAGGAAATTGTTTCAACATACTAACAGAAGGTAAATTTCTCATTATTTTATTTATGAATGTTCGTATTTATGTAGTTTACACAATGGTCAACCTTAACACAAGTTTGATCTTGAACTTGTTTGCCAAATCAAGAAGCATATTTCAAAATTTATTTTAAGAAGTTCTCATATTTGAGCAAAAATCTTGATATTATCTAACTGACACCTTATAAATAAATAAACAAATCATCAAATGAGGTATTTTTTCTCATTCCTAAATAATTGTTGAAGACTTTTGAAGCAAGAATAACACTTGAATTTTAAGGAAATCCTCTACTATGGCTAATACCGAACTTCTGTTAGAGAATCTTGAGTTAGTTATAACTAGACTTTATTCAAATTAATGTATATAACATGCAATATATCTATGATATTCATGATGATAAAAACACTTCCTTGCCAACCTGCTTACTGTATAAAGGAAGGCATGGCTTAACACTCATGCTGCATGTCATTATCATCATGCATTGATAATACAACATTAATATCATCACTTTCATCGATTTTCAAGAATAACTTAGTATTTTACTAACCTGATTCAAGATAGAGTCCTTAGCATCCTCCCATGGGAGTCTATTTCTTCCTGCGCTATAATAACGCCGAGGACTTGGCCCAGAGTTGTTCATAGAATCATTTAGACCTGGAGTAGATCTTGCAGAGCTGGTAACATCGGCAGAACTACTTCCTCCAGTCCCAGCCATTACCCATTCAATATCTGCACCCCGTTGACTGTTATTCTGTCCTCTTACTGTACCTGACGAGGGTATAGGTATAGCATACTCTACCAATCCATCGCTGTTTAACCTCGGAAGCTGTCGACGAGCAAGCCTTGCTTGTACTGCAGCCATGACTCCATCTCCACCTTTTGTCAACTCCACCTTATCGACAGCTGATACAATAGGACTTAAATGCCCTGGTCCCATTGCTTGTGCAATCACAGCAAATGCTTCAAGTGCAGCTTGTCGAACCTTTCTCTTGTTGTCAGCAAGCGCTGGTGCAATGGCATTAGTCAGTTCTGGGAGATCAAAGTCAGATCGTGGGAAAGTCAATAAAGCACCAATGACAACATTGAGAGTTTCTTCACGCACTTTAGATTTGGGGTGCTGTAGACTTGCCGTTAGCACGTTCAATACAGGTTTAGGAGAAAGAATCTGCATGAGCTGCATTAATACTTTCATATTTTCCTGTCGAATAACAATCTTGTTATCTCCCAACTTATTGGTCAGGGTATTGACCAAAGGTTTTAGGAATGGCTTGGCATTTTGGCCAAGTTTTGAGATTAAGATACCAAGAATTTGAAGGCTTGTTACTGTAATCTTGAAATTTATATCATCTAAGAAATCAAGTAGTAATCCAAAAAGAGATGCTAGATGCGGTAATACTGGCGAAGTATCTCCAAGGTAACCCATAACAGTTTTTAACTCCTCTATACCTTGCGCTCTAACTCTCCAGTTACTTTGATCTCGAAGTTTGGCAATCACAGAATGAGGTACAAAACCAAATACAAGTTCATCGTTATTAAACTTAATATTTTCTCTTCCAGAATATCCCTTTGTTACAGCAATAGTGTGTCCTCGGTCAAAATTATGTTTTTCGCCGTTAACTTTGTCCTCGCTAGAACCCAAAACTCCATTAGTGTTCAAATGGCTGGCACTCTTTGCCTTGCGTAGGTTAGACATTTCTATATCTTCTCGGTAAAATTGTCCCAACTTCTGTATTGCCTCTGAGCATACATTCTGTTGCTTACTTGGTAATCGCCGGAGATAGTCGTTAAAGTTTTCTTCTCCAACAACACTTCGTATTCTATCGAGAGAGAGGACCGTGGGTTGTGATCGAGAGGAGCCCTCGAGTATTCCTACAAGTGCTTTGGTGAGTATGAATAGATCCTCGTGAGCAAGATTTGGAGTGATGAGAATAGGCAAAGCTACAAGACTTTCCATTCTAGTTCTTTTATCTTCACTCTCTAACCCATGTTCAATGATAGCGTTGAATACAGCACCAACATTGCTAGAGTTTTTCATGTAAACGTGTAGCGTTTGTATGGCTGATTTCTTTACAGTAACCGTATGATTACCGAGGTTGGACACTAACTGTGGAAGTATTAAGGTCATGCAGTTGTCAAGATCTGTACCAAACTCGGGAATAATTTCCGATATAAACTCGATGCATCGTAAACGAAAGTTAGGATCGCTGTCACAAAGTGAACTCTGAAAAACATGAAATAAACCATGGCGATCTTCAAACGTCAGTCGTCCTCCATTACGACGAACGCTTGCTCTCAATTCCTCAATAACAGCAGCCCTAACAGACGGGTTGGTTTGATCCGTTAACCTTGCCAATACTTCATGTTCATCCATAGTTTGCGAGGAGACTTCATGAGGCTGTGTGATCATGGATGAAGGTGATGATGGCTTGGCAACACGACCACTAGCCATACGATAGACATGTTGGATATAAAATTAAACCAACCACAATAACATAAACATCAAGTATACTACACCTATCAAGATTGTTTGCTCTTACTCCAGGAAACTCAACTGCTCACAGCTCTTCTCGTAGCTGTCGAGCAGAAATTCATTGAAAAATAGAAAACTAAAAACAAGTAACTAAGAGTTTCGCGTCAAAATTCCATAAACTTTGCGCCGCCGACACAACCAAGGTCCCGGATGACTGGTAACAAATATTACAATTGCGTTACCAAGGGAGGGGAGGCTTGGGATACACGCGCTCAAGTATTTATAGTTTATATTTAAAATGAGTACTAAACCAAACTATTGTTTCATACCACTTAAAATATATTTAAAAAAGGGTTGAATGTCTTATCGCTTAGTAAGTTTTCATGTTAAATGTAGTGTTTACTTTTTGTATTTGTTTATGTTTTTTGTTTTTTCCCCCCGTTTGACATTCAACTTTATCTTATAATTGGGATTTCCTTTCTGAAGGAATATATGGTAACTCTTGATTACTGGTATACGGCGCGTGATTACGTTTGGGCTTCCTGTGGCAGTGCAATTGGAGAGTGGACAACGACTTAGGACCATTAAAGGGTTGCGCTTTGGTTGCGCAAAGGTAGATTAAGAAGTAGATTAAGAAGGCAATCATTGCAGAATAACTTGCCTCAAATTATATCTGAAATGTCGGCACAATTTCACATAATGGAAGTACCGAATGTTCTATAGTTGATGATGAACCCTGAGGCTCGTCACACAAAACTTCTTTAACAATCTATAATACAATCTTTAACATACATTTTTCTACATCCGGAAATAGGAATAAAACAGATCAGACAGCGCTTGAGTAAAACTCTTGCTTCTTGAGATCATGGTTTTGCTATACTCTATTCTACAAACGTTGATTGAAATGGTGTTCCATTTGGACTAATGGCTTTCATTTTACTAGATAAACAAACCGTTATGATCATAAAAGGTTTTGAGTGTTTTGAGCAAATTAATAAATAACGGAAGTTAGAATTAAGATGTTTATGTTTAAACCACGTACCGACAATATTCCCAAGGCTGGAAAAAAGCAAGTCAGTTGATTATAATTCGTTGTTTTCAACTATCATCAATTACTCCAAATTAATCAAACTAAAGTATAGTTAGAGACCAAAACATTTTGTACTGATCTGATTTTTAATATCTTTTTGACGCAAACATTTTTTTTTTCGTGAGTCAGGTAATTTACCACTCATTGAAAAAACTCCTCGGGCATTATGGAGGTGAGGCGGTACCAGACTATGAAAAAATTTGGAATCTCTTAATATATTCCATCTCCACTGACATGTCAGTCTAGTCTTACATCGACAGTGTTTGTTGTTCAATGGTTATATTTGTATATGGTTGTGAAATGTTTTGGTTGAAAAGGCTGTCAAAGCCGTAGGAGTCGGCACCGGTCGATTTCCGATTGGTTCTGTTGGTAATGGCGCCGGAAAACAAGAATATTTAATTGATTGCCGCTGAGAACGAAATTTAAGTAGTTAGATGTAGCATTATCGGAAGAAATAGAAAAGGATAGGAAAATGATATGAATAATTAAATTTTAACATTCAAGAGTAACAAATAAAAGCCCACTGATCCCGGCTGAATTTTCATGCTGAACTAAAATATATTCATAGTTAATAATAAAAACACGATAATAAATTACAGCGTTGCTGATGTGGTCGTCTTTATATTTGCGCCTTATGCCGATGACTTGAAGTGACATACGGTATAATTTTTTTACAGTGTAAGTCTCACAAATCCTCGACTAATATTGCTAAAACGATGAAAATTTTGTCCTGGCTCAACCAAGGCAGGCTTCGACCTTTTTTTTTTTGCAYTCATTTTATAGCTGGCGCTTCAGGTGTTCGTACGCGTCGTACACTCAGTGGACTCCTTTAGTTACTTTGGTTCCCTTTGTTGTTGTTTTTTCGGCAGAACAACTTATAGACTAATACTACACGCATGCAATGCTGTCAATATATACAAGTTGGCTTCATCCAAATGTTCTGACGTCACAAAACAGTGTTAACCACGAACTTGAGCAAGCGAGAATAAGTGTGTTTATCCTCTTCAATCGCAACATGCCTACTGTGTTAACTCCGTTAACTGCTTAGAAATTGAAGGTGAAATTAAATATAGTCGTAGATTTTGTTTTTAATCCATGACTGTCAAGTTGTTTCAGAAAATTTTAAAATAGGGTCTGTCCCGCTTAGTTTTATATGTACCCCCTCCTTCCTGGTTTATTATCTCAGCGATTCACCATAATGGGTTGTGTAATTAAAACTGAATAGGAAACCCACACTTTCCATTCTCATTTTCATCCATTTTTCTACTTTTGGGAACTTTTCTTTCAAGCACATTTCCGCTGACTTCTAAAGACAGCAGATTCAAACATGGCGGATATTTTGCTGAGCTTCTTTTATGTAATTGGGAAGTTCAGATTCTACGGCTCTTCTTTATTTTAAAGTTAATGACCCTTCTCAGCCTTTGTGTTATCATTTGAATCAACAAGATGTCGGGAATAGAAGAGTATAATAATGAAAATCTAATCGTTACTCCTCCGGTCACTTCACGTGGTTGTCGGACGTTGAATCGTGAGGACTTCACAAAAGTCTTTCGTCTTCCTGCCCTAAGAATTGACGCCAAGAAGTGTTCTCTGTTCATGAAGAGCTTTAGGAAATTATTATTGAATCGACCAAGACTCCGTAACATCGTTCCAGATCCAAGCAATGAAAATAACTCCAAGAAATTAGTGTTACTTCGTCCTGGGGTTTTGTTAAACGAAGAAGAAAAAGAATTCATTTGCACTCATAATGCAGATGAAACTGTGCATGACTTGGTTCTTGATTATAATTTCTGGACTTCAGAGCAAGTGTTGCGAGCAATTCTACCCCCTGAGATATCTGAAGTTCCCTCCGCCTTTGAAACTATTGGACATATTGCTCACGTGAACCTGAGGGAAAACCAACTTGAGTACAAGTCGGTCATTGGTATAGTAATTGAATAGTTTTTAATAATCTTTAACAATTTGATATAATTTCTTTCACCTTCCTTCCACTTCCCCCACCCTAAGATCATAAGACCTCGCCCTCTCCTCACGCGAAGCTCATAAGACTTCCCCACCACCACAAGTTTATGTATGTCAATATGTGAATGATAAGACTGCATTTAACAGTATTTCTTGATTATGATTATATATTGCTTACATATGGTATTATTTTCAGGACAAGTTTTGTTGGATAAGAATTCACCACAAATAAAGACAGTTGTGAATAAGACCAATACCATTGATGAGACATTTCGGTTTTTCAAAATGGAGCTTCTTGCTGGAGAAGATAACATGAATGCTACTGTAAAGGAAGATGGCTGCATTTTTGAATTTGACTTTTCTCAAGTTTATTGGAACTCTCGTTTGCAGACAGAGCACAAGAGGCTTGTGGAAATTTTCTCGAAAACAGATATAATCTGCGATATGTTTGCAGGTGTTGGTCCTTTTGCCATTCCGGCTGCTAAAAAAGGATGTTATGTACATGCAAATGATTTAAACCCAAGTTCCTATGAAGCTTTGGTAAAAAATGCAAAACTAAACAAAGTTGAAAAAAATATAATAGCATACAATATGGATGGAAAAGAGTTTGTAAGAAAGATGGTTGAATCTTTGGCAGACAAGTCAGGTTCTGGAAATCAGATGTTTAACCATGTCATTATGAACCTTCCTGCAAGTGCTGTACAATTCTTAGATGTCTTCAAAGGTTTATTTATTAATTTCAAAGACAGATTCAGAGTAGATGACTCTTCAAAATCACGTGTCATCCTACCAATGGTTCATTGCTACTGTTTCTCCAAGTCTGAGGCTCCAGAACAGGATGCGCAATCCCAGGCTGAGGTGATTCTTGGGGTCAAAATGGGCAGTGATTGTAAAGTGCACTATGTAAGAGATGTTGCACCAAAGAAAGCAATGCTGTGTGTGTCATTCAGGCTTCCTGCTTCAGTGGCATTTTGTGAACATGACCAAAAGCAGCGTGATGGTAAATAGACATAAAAGTACTCAGTGTATTACCTGGCTATCACATGTATTGATCTAATAATCTTTTGTTCTAAAATATCCATACTTCTCTTATGGCGAAGGAATTGGACTTCCCAAGGGTAGGGAGGGTCTGTAGAGGTCTTCTTCAATAATTACTTTATGGAAATTTGTCCAACTTTCAGCATAGAACTATGGCAGAGGTGATTGCTAGCTATTAGATGGACATCACACATTCAAGTTATTGTACAAATTTGTATGCACAGTCATCCACATTCCTAACTTGCTATATTACCTTCAGTGATGAATGAGAAGGTATTAGTTTAATAGATGAATTTTTGTGTTGCAGATAGTGAACCTCCTTCTAAACAAGCCAAGATTGAAGAAGACAGCAAGAACTAGCTTAGTAACAATCCAGTTTTTAATTGATTCTGTTTATACAACTTTTTAATATGATACTTTAACGGTAATGCTGGGAATTTTTGAATAAAAGCGACAGAAATTGAACCTTTTATGTGTTTAAGATTCTTTTTCCCGGGGGGGGAGGGAGGTACTCCCCTATATTCGCTATACGGATACGTGCCGCCAAGCAGGGTTTGGTTTTCAGCGATTCTACTCTGGAACAGGGTCAGGGTTCAGAGGGCTCAGTGACACATCCCTACCCTAAACGGGCAAGAGTACCCCCAGGTCTCTTCCTCACCCCTCCTTAATACACTTATAAAGAACTATTATCAGTCATTCAAATCTTTGCCAAAATTCGTTTTAGGATTTTCTATTAGGAGTTCCCTAAAGCTTTGCATGAAATAACAATACAAAAAATATGTTGCAACTGCTCCTCAAAACCAAGGCACTGGAAGTCCCATTTCCAAAAGCCATAATTTTAAACTTTTCCAATAGGTAGGACAATTCTCTCAGACCCTCCAGATTAACTCATCATCCCTGTCTTGTATGTTCCCTGAAATCAAATTCTCTCTCTAAGTTAGGTCTTTAGCGTGAGTTTCTGTTTCGTTGATTCTGTGAAGGTGGAGATTCAACAGGTTATTTTATTCGAAGGAGGCCTAGTATAGCCACAGGAAGCCCAATCAATGTACTTTTACCTTATTAAAGGCATGTATGTAGAATTGTGTATCATAAGAATAATTAAAGTTTTTTTCGTAGTTAGGCTATCAATTTTTGCATGTGTTTTCTTGCTGCCGTTGTTTGTCTTCATTTGTGACAAGGTGCAATTACCTTGCTTGGGCTTCCTGTGGTAGAGCATCGCACCACGTGGCAACTTCTCAAAATACTTTGTGGGGCTGCAAAATGCTGTGTTGAAAAAAGTTCTGACGAACATCAGCAAACATTTGGAGCTGCTATCCTTATGTAACCGGCGGCAAGGCGCTCAGCCATGAATCAGATTGCAAGTGGTTTTGACAAAAGAATTTATTGAAAAA